GGGGATACGAGCGTTACGAGCGTAACACCGTGCCTTATGCACGATTCGCGCTCAAGAAAAGGCACGGTTTTTGTGCCGAAGCAAGGGGGAAAAACATGCAAAGGCACAGATTAGGCACACTTTAGGAACATTTTAGGCACAGTTTGGGCACAGTTTTGGCACGGTTTAAGCGCAAATATTCAACGTTGGGCACTTTTTTGAAAATCTTTGTAACCCGACTTGAAAAAAAGAACAAACTTGGTATGAATTACAAAAATAATTCAGGTCAAAGAAGAAGAAGTATAAGAAGTGTAGGTTTTGAGCCGCGGCGAAAGTCGGGAGAACCTTTTCGATTACCATGCAATTTTATGGAGCTTTCTTTCGTGAATCGATGAAATTATATAAACATGTAATTGAGCTGAGCACTTACTGTATTTTAAATAGGCAAACCTGTTTAACATTCCAGTTTGCTGTTTGTCGGGGCTTTCCCTGCTGTCTCTAACCGTATTCTGAGCCATGTTATTTCTTATTAGGGGATAAAAAGGTCGTCAGACCGTGTTTCTAGACTTCGTAAACCTTAAAACTGACATAATTGCCCCGGGGGAGGGACTCCGCATATGTAAGGGGTGGGGATGTTCGTCGTCTCGCTTAGGGGTGTAAATTTCGGATTTTGGTCTCACTTAGGGTGTTCTGGGCAAAACGCCATCATATTTAGCCGTGAAGCGTTCGTTTAGGGTTGCACGTGAAAAAATATAAAATATGTGTATGGTCTGTGTTTTAACATGGTCTCTTTTAGGGGTCAAAAAACCGCTTCGGCCACGCCCAGATCGGTCTCTTTTAGGGATTTAATTCAAAATTTCCGACGAGCATCCCCACCCCTTTCATATGCGGAGTCCCCCCCGGGATAATTGCCGTGCGCACTTTTCTTTCGCTGTGGAGCTCGATAGGCTGGACACGATTTTCCGAGTGACTCAATATTTTGGCACAACTTGTGCACAATTACTTTCACAGAATAATGTACTCATCATTTCCAACTACTGGGAATAACTTGATCGACAAAATGACGTCATATTGTCGACTTTATTGGCAGAATATAAATTCTCTCAAAGTACACATTAACCTAAAAAATACTTAAATAGTAAGGTGTTTGATAAAATCAAGAAGTTGGCTAACAAATAAATAACCTTTGAACAATAGCAGTGATTTCATGATGACGTCATTTGGTGCTAAAAAGGAACTAGAAGAACCCGCCATTTTGAATTATTGAAACGTATTCCCTTCTCCTTTAAACGCGTATAAATCGAGGAATTTTTAATAGAAAACTTGATCTGAGTATAAAAGAATGCTTAGGAAGCAAAAAAATCTGCAAAATATGCGATTTAGAGAAAAATGAACACAGCTGAAAATTAAACTCAGCATCTTGCCATTTGGTCATATTAACTCATTTTCTCAGAGATTCTCAAACTGCTCAAAATACTAGTCTCTAAAACTTTAAAAATAATGCTAATTTATGAGTAATATAATAATCTTACTAGTAAAATAGAATTACATATGTAAAAACCTATTTTAAAGAAAATAAAATGGAAATTTTGGAAAACAAGGCCGTCAAAACTCGGTTGCCATGGTAACGTCAATGTCGACCTTAAAATTAGGGATATTCCGGACTGGTAACGTCTCGATGACTGTCCTCAGATAATTTTTAGGGAAAGTCGCCAATTTTGGTGGTCATAGTTAGCTTTATTGGTTTTGAAGTTATTCAACTTTTTAGCGAGGGGGGGTCGGTGGGGGGGCTTCCCCCCGGCATGAATAGGGTTAAAGTGAGGCTAAGTGCGAAGCCTTTGAATTCTCGTGTCACACATTTCGACAATGAAAGGGTTTGTACTTAGCGTCCTTTTGATTTTGAACTCGGGAGAAGGGCCTGTTTTCTAAGGAAACTGGGGACGAACCCTCCCAGACGGAAGAATAGAGAGAACCCTGGGAACGAGATTGGCTGGGTAAGAGGAAGTGGTCATTTTCCAAAATGGCGTCGTCTCTATCCGACGAGGAGTTCACTCGAATGCAGGTACATTCCGCTAAAAAAGTAGCTTGAACTTTTGGTTTAAAGTGGAAACTTGAATTTTTTCCCCTTTTTGTAACAGACACAGCTGATTGAGCTGCGGACCTCGAATTACGAGTTGGAAGCTAATTGTCAAAGACAGCAGGCAGGTTTGTGTTGATTCCAATATTTCCAAGAAAATATAATGTCAGGTAAAAAGTAAACATTTAGCTGTTTAGCACCCGGCGGTTTCCTTTTTCATGGATATTTACTTTTGGGGAGTTTTCTTAGTTTTGAGTCAATTATCCACCTGCGGATGCTGCTTGCACTAGCTCAACCATCGATCACTGAGTATCACAGCTGTTTTATTATTAATGAATCGAGGCTTGATCAATTATTAAAGTGAACGGTTTTAACAGGTGATCCGCCTTTTAAAGTCAGATGATGTATTCAGAGTATTGAACAGCATCGATTTTTTTTGCATTCGAATCGATCACAGTAGTGTGATGAGTGTACAATATGTGAAGTTGTAATAAAATTTTATATTTTGATGTTAAAAAAACAGTCATGCTCTACATGGTAATTTAAGATATTTTACTGTTAAGATTACATTTCTTTTATCAGAATTAGATCAACTACAAGAAAAATATACTAACGTGGAAAAGGAGTTACAGAAATCTACCAAGGTATGGTTTAAGAAAAGTAGAAAACTCTTCAGAAAAGTTGGCTATTTGTAATGGTTTAACTTAATTGATATTATGAAAAAACATTGATGAATGTTTTAATCCCATTTTTGTAGATTATTAACAAGAGCAAAAACAGAAAGGTATGTTTTTGCATAATCTTTTAATTTAACCATCCAGTATGTTTATATACATTACATGAACAAACCACAGCATGCAAGTTTTAACCCTTTAAGCCCCAGTATCCACATACAAATTCTCCAAACTGATCTCCATACATTTCCTTGAAGAATCAGTTGAGAGAATTTAATAACAGATCAAGGTATTTTCGCTTTGGTTATAATTTGTTAATTCTCTTGACTGTATCTCTTGACAATTACTGGATATTTTTAGGAGAAAATTGATTTTGGTCACTATCGGGACATAAAGGGTTAAACTGTGTTACCATGTACACCTACTTAAAATGTCATGTTTGTCTGACTTTTGACATTTACATGACAACCATGGCAAAAGTCGGACAAACATTGCAAATAAGTTACTCAACTGATGTTGTTTGTGCGCTGTGCTCTTGAATGGTGTAAATAAAGATTAATTGCAGGCTACAAGAGGAGCCCGCAATCCTATTCTCCANCCCTGGGAACGAGATTGGCTGGGTAAGAGGAAGTGGTCATTTTCCAAAATGGCGTCGTCTCTATCCGACGAGGAGTTCACTCGAATGCAGGTACATTCCGCTAAAAAAGTAGCTTGAACTTTTGGTTTAAAGTGGAAACTTGAATTTTTTCCCCTTTTTGTAACAGACACAGCTGATTGAGCTGCGGACCTTGAATTACGAGTTGGAAGCTAATTGTCAAAGACAGCAGGCAGGTTTGTGTTGATTCCAATATTTCCAAGAAAATATAATGTCAGGTAAAAAGTAAACATTTAGCTGTTTAGCACCCGGCGGTTTCCTTTTTCATGGATATTTACTTTTGGGGAGTTTTCTTAGTTTTGAGTCAATTATCCACCTGCGGATGCTGCTTGCACTAGCTCAACCGTCGATCACTGAGTATCACAGCTGTTTTATTATTAATGAATCGAGGCTTGATCAATTATTAAAGTGAACGGTTTTAACAGGTGATCCGCCTTTTAAAGTCAGATGATGTATTCAGAGTATTGAACAGCATCGATTTTTTTTGCATTCGAATCGATCACAGTAGTGTGATGAGTGTACAATATGTGAAGTTGTAATAAAATTTTATATTTTGATGTTAAAAAAACAGTCATGCTCTACATGGTAATTTAAGATATTTTACTGTTAAGATTACATTTCTTTTATCAGAATTAGATCAACTACAAGAAAAATATACTAACGTGGAAAAGGAGTTACAGAAATCTACCAAGGTATGGTTTAAGAAAAGTAGAAAACTCTTCAGAAAAGTTGGCTATTTGTAATGGTTTAACTTAATTGATATTATGAAAAAACATTGATGAATGTTTTAATCCCATTTTTGTAGATTATTAACAAGAGCAAAAACAGAAAGGTATGTTTTTGCATAATCTTTTAATTTAACCATCCAGTATGTTTATATACATTACATGAACAAACCACAGCATGCAAGTTTTAACCCTTTAAGACCCAATATCAACATACAAATTCTCCAAACTGATCTCCATACATTTCCTTTAAGAATCAGTTGAGAGAATTTAATAACAGATCAAGGTATTTTCGCTTTGGTTATAATTAATTTTGTTAATTCTCTTGACTGTATCTCTTGACAATTACTGGATATTTTTAGGAGAAAATTGATTTTGGTCACTATCGGGACATAAAGGGTTAAACTGTGTTACCATGTACACCTACTTAAAATGTCATGTTTGTCTGACTTTTGACATTTACATGACAACCATGGCAAAAGTCGGACAAACATTGCAAATAAGTTACTCAACTGATGTTGTTTGTGCGCTGTGCTCTTGAATGGTGTAAATAAAGATTAATTGCAGGCTACAAGAGGAGCCCGCAATCCTATTCTCCAGGTTGTTATTACGTACGTATGTAAATCGACAGCGTTCGCTGGGACTTCCACTAATAATGAATGGAATGCACAGAACGCAATTTGATCACGCGTGTTTGGATCTGCCACCTTTCATAATCTGATCACGTGTGTTTTGACTATCTGTCATGTGAAACTTACACAAAGCGCACCAATGGAGCAAAAGCGTTTCATTGTTGCCAGCACTCCATAACCTATGGTTATTACTAGTATGTACATGAATGTATTTTTTAACTATTTAGGAATATCAAGTGCTCTTGGAAGAAAATGAAAACCTGCAAAGACAGTTTCAGACACAAGAAGAGAATTTCAAACTTCAAAACCAAACTCTCCTTGAGGAAATAAGTAAGGTAATGCCAAACTTACCTCTAAACCCGGAGGGCCTCTTGTAACAGCATACATACACTTGTACAGCTGTACAATGCATGAAATTGAATAACTCACTCAAAAGACTTATGCCAGAATTAATCAGTCACTGCCTTCAACAACTGATCAATCAATCAATTAACCAACCAACCAATCAAATTTAATAACAGTCATTCAGACAATCAGTCAGTTTGATTACTGATGATCAAATAATGAATAATTGATCAATCAGTCAATCACTTGATTGATGAATCAATCATTTAATCACAGACTTTACCACAGATTTATGAAAGTAATGATGTGAATTTTGAAATTAATATATATGCAGATGTGATAGGCTATAACTTCATATTAAGATGTAGAGAGGCTCAAATGTATGCTGTATTATTACTTAAATTTGTAGTTAGTTGTGTACAGTGTTCTTTAGTTTTAAGTGTCTTGTCTTAACCTATGTCACAAAGAGGTGTGCACTCACTGCAGATAAAAATTTGACCTGATATTATTGGTCAGTGTAAGTTTCTGGGAAAATCCTGTCCTACCCCTCCCCTAAATAAAGATTGACACTAAGTTTTCACCTTGAGCAAAATGTTGGCTCAGAAGAACTATTGGTGAGCAGTTTCCCATAATCTTTCTCTCATCCATATCATATTTCCTGCCTCTATTACCCCACTGACCCCTGCTGGTGCTGTTTGTCATTGTGTGCCTTGATCATCTAAATACTTTTCTTATTTAAAATGAACCAGTTAAATGATGACAATGAAAAGCTTCAAAAGCAAGTGACAGCTAAAGATGGTGGCCAGGATTCAGGGGCAGAGGCTGAAATACGACGACTCAGGGCTGAAAATGCAGCTCTTCAGAAAAGTCTAACAAGTAAGTCCTTGTCAACAAGCTTTAACAATTTATCAGAAAATGATTTGCAGAAGTTAGAGGATAGCAGTTATCACCAAATCTGTACCATGTATTTATGGTTAGTAAGGTTTTAAATCCCAGGATAGAAAACTTATTTGCATATGCAAGCTTTTGATTCTATCGCAGAGTCTTTATTCAAGTGACATACGTAATGTATTATTATATTCTAGAGTGCATTATGCAAATGCAAATATTTATTTCTCTTTACAGTGGGGCATTAAGCAAGGAAAGGTATTGCTCTTGTTCCGTGAGCAGTGAAATCTTCTTTTCTTGAACACTTAGTTTCTTGAAGCTTCTGATAATTTGAATCAAAACTGACTTCACTTTTTTCAGTCAAAAGCTGTAAAACTTTTTGCCTTGATTTTTTGAGTCTCCCAATTATTATTTGAAACAATTTCTATTTCCCCTGGAGTTATGCTAATGATCGGTTGAGTAAGAGCTCTATCTCAGATTTTTTCTGGAACTTCAATGACACTGATAATGCTTTTATATTGCTTTTGAAACAGATTCTCAGCAGAAGTATGAAAACGAGCTACTACAGTTACATGAAAAACTCTCTGATCAAGATACTAATGACAGTTGTCACTCATCGGCAATACAAAATGATCTGACATCCAGTTTGGAAGATTCCCCAGAGAATGGAGAACGTGAAAGTGAAACCGAACAGAAGCTCAAAAGTGGTGGACAGTTAGAGAATACCGAGCACAGATTTCATGAGATTCTGAACAGAGAACTGTCTGTGTTTTGTGAGAAAATGTGTAGTAGTAGAACTGGTGATGTGTCAAATGAACAAGAAACCAATGATCGACATGACGTTGCAGAAGCATATGAATCAAATAGTGAAAAATCTGACGTTAATGGTGAAAAAGATAGTAACGAAACAGGAGACAATGCATCTACGGTTGATAATGTACTCAAACTGGGAGGTCGAGGGTTCTTAAACGAAGTAGACAATTTAAAAAGAAAACTTGCTGAAACTTTTATTCCTCTTTTATCTTCAAATGAGGGTAAGGCCATAAATAGAATTATTACAACCACATAAGCTTTAGTGTCTTCATAATATATTACCAAGCAAAAGAGGATTCATAGCCGGGTATCGGTAGGTGAGGTGGGGTGCTAAATTGTGTATCAAAATTAGTACCATGAGTAATCTATAGACTCAATCGAAGCAAAATGATCATTTTCGCAATCTTTGCAAATTTTCTAATTGTAAATGTTGGATGTAAGTCATGAACCTTCTATGTAAAACTATGTCATTGACGAGTTCAAAACCTTCATCAGTCTTAATCCACTCTGTGATAAACACATCTGTTAACTATAGTTTGATTCGGCAGATTTCCTCAGTAGACAAGCAGTCATAAGAAGTCCTCCACGTGAACGACGCCAAGAGGTTAGATCCTCTAGTTATAACTTGTTTACGGTCAAGTCGCCCGAAAGTCATCTCGCCCGAAGTTATGTCGCTCGAAATTTTTAGTCAAGTTGCCTGAAATGTTGAGTTATATGGCTCGAAATTTTATGAAGCTCAACAACATCCTAGCATCCTTATTACACATTTATCGTGCTTGTTTCGTGTCATTGAAGATTAAAGAATGAGTTATATTACTCATTTATCGCGCTTGTTTCGTTGTTCATCAAGGGTTAAAGCCCAGCGAGATATATTACCCACAATGGCTCATAATATACCGCTTGTTTCGCCTCATTATCGCTTAAAGAACGAGGTATGTTACACATTCATTCCGCTTGTTTCCTCTCATGGTAGTTTATAGAACGAGATATATTACACACACTCTTTATTTGTTTCTCTGTGCACTTCACCCGATAAAATTCGAGCGACATGACTCAGCATTNTTATCGTGCTTGTTTCGTGTCATTGAAGATTAAAGAATGAGTTATATTACTCATTTATCGCGCTTGTTTCGTTGTTCATCAAGGGTTAAAGCCCAGCGAGATATATTACCCACAATGGCTCATAATATACCGCTTGTTTCGCCTCATTATCGCTTAAAGAACGAGGTATGTTACACATTCATTCCGCTTGTTTCCTCTCATGGTAGTTTATAGAACGAGATATATTACACACACTCTTTATTTGTTTCTCTGTGCACTTCACCCGATAAAATTCGAGCGACATGACTCAGCATTGCGGGCGACTTAACTCTGTTTTCGGGCGACTTGACTGGTTACCAAATAGCATTTGATATTACTTCTCAATTGGTTTAAGTGACGCTATTTTCCTTTCCTTTAACTTAAATCATTGATCTTGTTATCAGGTTGAAATAAGAAATATAGCTCTTGAAAAGCAAGTCAAAGAAATGGCTGGTCTCCAACTGCAACTGGACACAGAACGAGAGGAAAAGCGACTTCTACAAGAACAACTACAAGAAGCTGAGGTGAGTCGAATTTATTTTAAAAAGTTAACCTAAAATGTTTTCCAAATGCGAGTCTAAGAGTTTCTTTTTTTGAAAGTTTATAGGGTCAGTTTATAGACACGTACACGTACAAAGCTAGTCTACATGTAACTCACTCCAGTCACTCCTGAGTGCTAGAAACTTTCCTCGCGCGGTTACCGGTTACGGTACGCTCGTTTCTTTCTTGCGACTTCGGCCTTGCGGTCAAAAATGTGTCGTCCGATCCCGAATCAACCTGCTGCGCGTGAGGAAAAACTCTCTTGACCCAAGGTAAAGATGTAAGTATTACATGCTCTCTTCTGGAGTTCAGCATTGTGGAAGGCCGGAGCAAACACGCGACAAGGAATTGCTCTCTCCTATTTTTGAACTTGGATGCAGACCCTTAAAATTCAGGGGCTGGAAGTTATAGCTATATTTGACAAATTAATCGAGTTAGAGTACTGAAAAAACGGCGTTGAAGTGTGAAGACTCGCTCGTGTCCACGTTCGAAGGGAAAACGGTCATCTGATGTGCAAATATTGTCTTCCAGACCTCAAGCAAACAGGAAATATCAAGGTTGGAGCAAGAGCTTGCTAAGGCGAGTGTTGACGAAATGATTCAAAATGTTCTGTTCGGTTTGTGTTGTGAGTTAACTTTCTGTACTTTGTTTATTGTTGTCGCAGTTAACGGAAAAGATAAAGCGAAAACAGGAAAGGTAGGTGAAAATAGCTCTAATCTTCTCTGCAAAGTTCTGTCATTTCATGCTTTTCTTGAGTGGTAGTGATTTTGAAGGAAAACGTTTGTCATGTGGTTTAAATATAAGCTGATTTCAGAAGGTTCCGCAGCTCACGGCTGGACGATGTAATAACTAGAAAGGTCCTCAAACTGAATGTAGTTGTTTGTTATTGTTCCACCGACTCGAAAAGGAGGGAGAAATGTGCAAATTAACGTGTGAAGGTAACATTACCACACGCCCCAGTTTTTCTTTTCCACTTGTCTCTCGAGCGCCGGTCTAAGCGGGTAGGTTGTAAAACTTTGAGTAGAGTTGTCAACTTACGTTTTATACCAGTAGTCAGTGCTGTATGTTTATCTTTTTCTCGACAGTTATGTGCAACTGCAAGAGGAGAAAGAGAAACTCTACTCAGAAAACAAGTAAGAGCACCTCGAGCTTAGTTATGATTGGTCGATGGAATTCAAGGCAACCATTAACTAGATCACAAAGGCCCGATGCCAGAAATATTTGCGCCAAAAGCTTGTTCCCATTCCCCTTATAATTTCTGGAATGGGAGAATAAAGTCATCGATCAGTGTCACTGTCACGGTTTGTTCCTTGGAAAAAGTTGAATTTGTTGAATACCACGCAAGCTCAGAAAATAGCTGCCTTAGAACACACCTTTTCTATTTTTGGTTTTAGGAAATCACTGGAAGATTTAAAAGCCTCTAAACAACAGGAAATAGAGGTACGTGAAGATACAGCGTAAATGAAGTATTGCATTGATTGGTATGAAAAGCCTGTTACCTTGTGCCTTGCCATCTTACCGGTCTCTCTCAGCTTAAGTCGCACCCTAGCTTTCATTAGAGACCTTGAGATTCTAAGACGAAGACGACTACGAGTACGAGATTTACTGCGCCAGCATCATTTTGGCGGAAAAATGTGATAGTCGTCATTCTGCTACGAGTTTTAGCGAGAATGTCGCAGTGGCAGAAGCAAGTTATCAAAAAAATGCACTTTATTTGAGTGTGAGTGTATTTAGCACGAAAGTGCTAATTGGGACACTATATTTTACGTCTCCTAATGGAGACGGGACCGCCATTTTACGTGGTCATCCAAGCCACGCGAAGGTCTAGCCGCCTTCAGGGCAAAGGAAGTACCTTCATTTCTCAGTTATTTTAAGACCCTGAGTATTGGTCCGGCCCCGGGAATCGAACCCTCGACCTCCCGCTCCGCAGTCAAACACTCTACCGACTGAGCTAATCCTGCCGCGGTAAATGTTAGAAAATTTATCATTTTGCGATCGGTAGAGGGCTAAACCTCCTTCAATAAAGGTAACAGTACTAATTCTCTCGGTCAAAAAAGTACAATGAAGTTTTCCGGGGTCAAATATCATACTTGCAGTCGTTCACTTCCTCGAAGGCCTCTATCATGTTACCCTGAATGTGAAATTACGGTAGTCTACGTCGTCCCTTTTATCACCTCTCCGTTTCGATTAACCAACTTGACTCTAACCGCCATTGTCACTTAAAGAGTCGTTTCTTGTTGGAAATTGTTCAATTTTTAGTGAATTTCGTTAGCTAGGAAGCAAGGCAAACTCGTCCAAAGCTACGTCATCTCTAACGCGGAAGGCGAGTTGGTGTGGGGCTGCAGTTGGCTGGGAAACCGTGAACCTGTTAGGCTTTAATAGAATGTAATGTAAGTTTTCGTGTGGGTGGAAGCTGCCCGAGAAGGTAATAATAGTGAGTTTACGCAACAGGAAGGCAGGAAGAAGACAACGGCAAAACATTTGTGTGCGACAAACGTGACAAGGCTATTACTTGCGTGTTTTGTCGTGATCTTCTCTTAACATTATGGTTTTCTGGTCTTGTACAAAAATATCTGTTTCAAGGAAAGTGAAGTTTGGGGAAAAGATGTTTCAAACAAAATTATTGTCACGCTTGTCACACAAGGTTTACTGTCTTCTTTCCTCACCTGTCCTGCTGCACTAATATTGAAATTAAATCTTAAGTATTTCTTTTTTGTGCAGATCCTTACTCAACAAATGGCCAAGCTTCAAGATACATTGAATGAAGCTAATCAGGTGTGTGAATTTATACCAATGCGATCGCTATTTTACTACATGTATTTTTCTTTGTTAACAAAATCTTATCTACTATGATTATTCAATTGACAGTCCTTTCCCCGAAAAGTTTAGATATCTAGAACCCTGGTTAGCTCAGTTTTGCTTTATAATCCGTGTCTCTTCATCTAAGTTGAAATGTAGGCACCGACTGCAACTCACCCATTTATTAAACGATATTTTCTCAGGCCATGCATTTCGATCACTTATTTTAATTTTTTCTTACTTGATAGCGATACATGGAATTCAAGGGAGAGGCGGAAGGAAAAATCAACGGACTTGAGGAAACCATGGCTGCACAGCAGAACCAGGTGAAAGAAAAACTCGAATATTAGTTGAATTGTTCTTGTTTTTATCAGCAAGTCAAAGTGAGAATGGAGGGCCTGTGTTGGTATATTTACAAGCTCTTTCTTGTTTGTTTCCTTGTAATTAGGCCACTTCGTCTGCAGAAGAAACGGAGCAGATTGTCGCAGGTCTCAGGTACTTGTGCTTCCATATTAGACTAATAAATGAGGTTTTTTGATAGTCAGCTTGTTTTGCTCGTGCTCTTCCTTCCTTTGCACCACTCTGATCTTTCAACGCCTTTTCCACCCGTCCCAGTCTTTTCTCCCCTCGTCTTTCCCGCAGGTTTGGTTCCCACTGCCTAATAGAGTACTAAAGTGTGACGTCATAAAAATGAAATTTGTGAAATTATGGGATTTGTCAGGACATTCTGAAAGAACATTGTCTAAGAGGCCTACTTGCCAAAAATGAGCATTTGGGGGCAAATTGTCTCTGAGATCGTAGCCCAGTTATGCTTACAAAACTCCATACAAACCCTTCTAAATTT